GGGATGTGTGGAGTTGGTTCAGTTTCAGGTTTGGTCAGATCCGATGCATCGATAATTCTCGATGCAAAACAATGACAAACTCGCTCTGGCTGCGCCTTTTGATGCCTTTGGCATCACTGTGGCTGTAGGCAATGCCAGGCCTCAAGCTTGTGGAGTCTGTCTCTTTTTCGAACGACATCCGCTACGCAAGGCTGGAATAGACATACGCGGCATGCTGCGCGTCGCTTAGTTGTAACATTTCACAGATCCGCTTCCTAGCTCCGGAATTTGTGCAAAGAGTAGATCTGAACAAAGTATAGTTAATCTTGCTCACGTCCTCTGAGGTGTGAATTCATCTTGAACGCATCTTTCCACCGTTGGCACACCTCTTTAAGCCTTTAAGCTACAGTCACATGAACACATCTGAGTTCTAACGAACCAAAAAAGCAAAGACTTTGCCAAAGTTGCACGGGCAAAACAGCTGCGGTCCATGGCAGTCCCATGAAGATTGGCCCGTTTTGAACCGGGATGCACGAGCTGCACACCTGGCCAAACAGTGGAAAAGTCCATTGGAGTGGCACCATGTGCGTCTTCTGACGCAGGAGCTTCTCCCTTTGAATTGGTCAAAGTCAAAGAGGTTTGTCTCGGATTGAGGGCCCGGCTTCCTGCAGACTGTCCAATGTTGAGACTGTTCAGAACTCAGAACTTATCACAACTGTAACTGTAAGCACCTACCATCACCCACCCCAACAAATGCGCGAACAAAACTAGATAGGCTTTCGGAAAATGCCATGCATGGTTTCAAATCTAAGTCTGCAGTGATCGCCCGCAGGCCCACAGCTCTACTGAATCGCCGGCATGAGCTGATGCTTTATCCTGGAATTACCTATGGAGCATAGACCAGGAACAGCTGCCTGGCCTACTACAGAACATGTTCGTTCACATGTTTGTTCACTAGGACCATCAAAGGCGAATGGGGGTTGGAATCGTGCGGCTCCAAGAGAAAACGGCCACCGTTGTCTCGTTCTGAATGACTTCTCCTTCTAATTATGGTTCCAACCCTCAGTGAAAAATCGTGGCCCAAGCACAGCTACTCTATTTTTCAGGTGCGGCAGCTTGCCCTGTCAGCTGAGCATACTTGGATGAGCCACACTTCAAATTCTCACGGATTGTGTGGCTCCCCGCAGGGGTGCCAGCTGCAAAGCTACTGCTTGCTGGGAACCTGAACGAAGCAGGAGCAATGAGAAAATTATACAGTATACGTTGATAGGAGCATCACTTAAGGTCAAAATTTTCTCTGAGAATCCTCTGTCCTCTGTCAACACCAATAAATGCCAATGAGGATTTTTTAAGCAAGTGACAAGTCCATGTCCTCAGCTGTGCTACGACTCTTAGAGTATTTGTTCCAGCACGCAGGGAGCCACGGAGACTATGAGTCAAGAAATAGGGCACAACAACTCGAGGAAAAGGTCCAGCCGCTGATGTGCACATATTCGGAGATTGACGTTGGCAGAGTCCAGCTGCCCAGCCAATATCGTGCAATCATGTGCAATCTGTAGTCAGGGGAATGTACTGTATGCCCTGAATGTTTCAAATCTGGGTCCACCTTTTGTAAATCAAGTGACCTGCACCTCACCCATGAGGACACAGCTTTCAACGCTCATTGTCACTACAATGTTGGACCAATAATCTACGCATGTCATAAAATTGGGCCGGATATACCAACTCAACACATGATGACCATATATCAAAACGCCTGCAAACACATTGACCGGATTGCACGATGTTCCTTAGTTCAGATCGGCCAACCTCGGGTTGCAACCCTCAAGGGGCTTTGCCCGCCGCGATCGGCTCAGCCGAATTCGGTCCTCCTGCCCAGCAGGTTTGCTGGCAGGCATTGTGGAAGACAGCCTCTCAGGGAAACGTGGCTACAAATGGACTGGAGTGACATTCTGCGGATGTGTCAAACTCACAGTGCACTCTTGGCATTCTGGCCCCCCCGTCTCTCTCTGTCTTTGTCTGTCTCCGTCTGTATCTGTCCGTGCTGCGTGTAATCAACTGACACAAATCTCATTTAGACTTTACACATCAATCAGGCCGCTCCCCATTTCCCCGGCCCAGCCGCACCTCGAGCGCCGCCGGGATTCAGCAAAGTCCGCAGTGATGCTTCCAAGTTCCGGTTCAATTCCTCCGTGGGGTGTGCACATAACGCACGTTCAGTGGCCGAGACCTTCAGGTATTGGCGGTATTGAAATTGTTGCTGGGGTTCAATCAGCATGCCATGCAAATCAGTGCTCAAATCCAATCCAGGTATCCTGCTGTGAAACCAAAGCCTCCTCCAATCTTGCAAGCCGATCAGGAGTGCCATGAACGGCAAACTCTTCGTTGTTCTCGACGCCTTCTCCATTGTCTTAGAATGTGGCCGTAAGGGGGGGCGGCTCAACAAACCAAAAGGCAATGCACAACATTTGCTTGCCAAGGGCCAAGCTGCTTCCGTATGCTTCCATAATTATATTGAGTATATGAATGAGCCAGGTGCACTTTCAAACGTGACTTCCCCAACAGACCGCCTTCTCTGAAAACCATGAATAATTACGGTAGTCTAGTGCATTCTCTTGAGCCTGCCCAGGCCCAAAAGCTCTGCACTGTAATTAAGATACAAAGTCAGAAAATGTCACAACCCCTTCAAGATCTTCAAAGGGCATATGGATAAGGCACTGATACACACCCTGGCAAATGCTCGGAACTCAAGCGGCATCACCAAAAGCAACCAACAGGCCGTCACGAATTCCACTGGAGCCGAGAAACTTGGGCTCACAACCTCGTTCAGGGCCTGAAAGCTGTTGCTCATCAGCTTGTGACGCCGCAGCACCACCTCCAGATCCTCTCGCACCCTGGACACCTCAGTTACTCGTTGACTCCCCAAGTCCAACGGCATTTGTGGTGTCAAATGGTTTGAACATGTTTGAAACATCTGATTTGGTAACTCCATCACAGACCCAGTATGACCCAGTCATGCCCAGTCCGTAGTGAAAATCATCCAATCCCAGAGTTTCACCGTGTGTAATGCTAAGCCGCCTCCACACTGCTCAGCTTGGAGTCAGTCCTCAGGCTGCGGACAAAGTAGATGTGCTTTGCGCCCATGTCATCCGCGGTCGGATCAATCTGCGCTCGGATGATGGTGATGTGGTTCTTCTTGAAGACACCTGAACAGGTGAAAGTCTGGAGTCCGGAGGTTGTAAGATGCCGTAAGTATCGTAAGTGCGCGTCCGGTCGCACCATCCCGCGTTCGGCGGTAGACCCCCCGAAGCCCTCGAGTGGACAACACCGATGCGATGCGTTCCGGCTTTCACGGGGCCTGTGATTTCTGTCATGATCATTGGCACATCCTTCGACAAGCTGACGAAGACCATCGAGCAGTTCGAATGAAGGTCGTTGCTGAAACCAATTTCGTTGCCCCAATGAACCTGAATAGTGGAGATATCGATCCTCAGCCGGGTTGGGATGCAACTGGTACTAAATGAGCCAGTGCACAGTGCACAATCAAGTCTTATTTTATAGTCTATGGATACTTAATGGGGATTTGGTTTCAACTTGAAGCAGCTGTTGGCCAAGCCAACCAGTCTGAGCGGTCGATTCTGAATTGCAGGCTGTCAAAACAATTGAGGTGACTATTATGGACCTATTTTGTTGGACTGGCGCTGGAAAATGCTACAGTAGATTGAAAGCTATTACTGCTTCAGCAAAACCAACACGTGCCGAGGAAAAGTCAACACACAACATCTTGGCCGTTCTTGCTGTGTTTGACAGTCAGCAAAAATTCTGTGCATCACCAAGCATTTGTGCTATATCATGTGTATATATGTGGTGGTTGATCAAAATTCCTTCTTGCTGGAAGGCCATTCTTAGCGCACAAATTAACATTCGCGAATCTTTCGGCGAACTCCATGTTTAACTTTCGCGGGGGGTATGTCCTCTGGAAATCGTCTTGGTTTAGTGGTTCTACATAGCAGCCTAAGCACTTCCATCAAGCACCATTTTGGAGCTGCAGACGAGGTTGAGGTGTTACATGGCAAATTGGCGAGAACTCTCAATCACCACCATTGGATGAATCAGCAGAACTGGTGGAGGATGAGCTGGAAGAGCTATCAACGGTTGTTGCGCTCATGTCTTGCTAGGTCTGTCGCTGCTTGGTTTGGGCAGGGGTCCACAAAACAAACCTTCACATTCGCCTATGCTTTCGCGGAACTTTCGCGAATCTTTCGCCAAAAACTGTCGCGTCATGGGTGGGTTTCTAGGCGCACGGCGTAACAACCAGTGGCAGCAGCACGAGGAGTAGTAAGAAGTGGTAGTGGTAGTGGTAGTGGCAGTCGCAGTCGCAGTAGCAGGAGCAGCAGCAGCAGCAGGAAGGAGCAGGAGCAGGAGCAGGAGCAGTAGCAGTAGTAGTAGCAGTAGTAGTAGTAGTAGTAGTTGTTGTTGTTGTAGCTCACACAGCACTGGTGCAAATCATCATATGTCAACCACCAGACCCTGGTAAACGAGACCAGGGTGAGAATAAACAGCTTTTAGTAGCATTTAAGAGCATTTAGTGAAAATAGATGTAGATTGCATTTAAAGGACATTTAAGTAACATTTAAGAACATTTAAGAGACATTTAGTGACAAATAAGGTACATTTAGTGACATTCAAGATAAACTTGAGGTGCAAGGTTAGGTAGTAGAAAATAGCTAAGAGGTCAAGTGCACTTTGTCGTTGTACGCCGGCATGGGCAGCAATTTCAATGCTCGACCTGACCTTACACCTTAAGACCTTTGGTTTCAATCAACAGTGACAGCAAAGAACTCACATGATTAATCAAATGAAAACCTGGGTGTCCTAGTCAAAGGCCTTGTTCGGGGTAGAATAGTCATAGGCCAGGAAATCCTGTTCATTGATTGAAATCCCTCTGATTGAAAACACAGCAGCAATCCCCCTACCTAAACCAAACGCCAACCCAAGACATGTTTTGCGCTTGAAGCACCACAGTTGGATGCAGCACAGACCAGTGTTCCATGCACTGAGACTTGGTTGGTGGCAAAGGCGTAGCAGCAAAACAAAGCTGACTGTTTTGTACAGAAAACAGAGCCAGAGCCCCTACCTACCACCCTTCTTGCCCTTGGCTTTGACTTTGGCCTTAGCCGCAGTAGAGCCACGGCCTCGACCCTTGCCCTTTCCGGAATTTCCCTTCACTTTGGCCTTTGCCTTTGGCATGGCGGACGAAGAAGATGCTTCTGCCGGGGTTTCCCCGGCTTCTTCCTCTTCATTATTGAGGAATCCCGTGCTAGCATCAAAACTATTTACCACTGCTCGAATATCCTCATCTGTTGGCCTTAGATTCGGGATAGATAGTGGTTCTACCAGTTACCTAAAAAAAAACACACAATGAACATAACAAACAAACAAATTGGTAAGTTTATACGCTGGGACGCTGGTTCTCAGCCTCAGCTTGTTCAGGACGAAGCAATTTCTCTTTTGTCCAAATGAAAGCGATGATGCACTCTCGCAATGCTTCAAACTCAGAAAGGTTGCGAACTGGACCACCCCAAGTCGCAGCGTGTGTGGTCAGAAATCCTGCAACTTGTCCTTGGTCACTCAGTGAGTCTCGGGATGTTTCATCAGCTGAATAGTTAGTCTATAAAAAATAGATCTAATAGGTCGTGGTGTTAAAATATTATTTGAAGTGAAGCTGCATTACCTAACATAACTAATTGCTAGGGTAGTCTTTAATTGCCGTGGTTCCACTATGCAAGGCCTGGTAGCGGCAGAGTAGTGGGTTCCTGCTACAGCCAATTCCAGCACCACTTGGCAAAAGGCTCTTCAGTGACCGTGGGGTGAACGTTCTTTGTTCTGCACGTTCTTCTGTGGGAGCCCGCGGACCATGGAATGCCCTCTCTTTCTCCACAAGTTCTTGGTTCAAAGCAACTTGGTGAAGGTGGTGGACATCTCTCTCCCCGTCAACACCTAGTTCTTTGACTGCGTTGATGACGTCAGCTGAGCATTTCACACGAGAGACTGTTCGACCATCGAGGCAATCTACCATCCGTTTTCGTTCACTTGGGGTTGCTTCAGGGAAAAGCATGTTGACCAGAGCTTCACTGTAATCATGTTTGACGATTCCTCCATTCTTGCCTGATCCCTGACCCTTGTCCGGATGCTTGAACTTCAACATGGCATGCAGGGACTGAAGGGTTGACAGGGTCAGGAACAAGCCGGCCATCACAGCACTCGCCAACAACGGTTGTGGTTCTCCTGTAACTTGCCACACAGAGCCATATGTTCGCAATTCGACTGGCAGCTGGCTTGGCAACAGGAGCGTGGTTGGTAGCATTTTCCATCTGCCTTCCCCGGTGATCTCTGAATTCATCATCCACGTCGGCAAAGCACCCTTGAAGAAATTCTCTGTGGCCATGATGTAGACCTGATGCACTGACTCACTGGCACTCGCACCCCCCAGCCCAGAGGATCTATGGTGATTAAAACATGCATAAGCAGTAAATGTTGAACATGTTTTGTAAACAGTAACTGCATGTTCACTGGTGTTTGTCTTCACACTTAACACGCCCGCAAACATATTCATTGTTATTGAAGTCACAAAGGTAACAATTGTTATTTTACTGAAACCCGTCCTTGCCATCCACCAGAATCTTTTGGAGAGGAATGCCCAATGCAGCGTATGTTTGGAAGCCCAAACACATGAACACCTTGCCAGCCGTGTTCTGGTAGATGTGCCGCTTCAGCAAAAAACTGCCTCCAGTCCAATGCCGAACACATTTACACCTAATTATATACACGTTCCCCTTGACTGACACCGAGCAACAAACTACAAAAACTTCAACATCCGTTGTTGTTTTTTGAACATATTCCAGCCTGTCCATGCCATGGGTGCGTGACGGAAATTGGACTGCGAGTTGGAGAGCACCCACGCTGTCGCTGCAGCTGCCCTTTGGTTTGCAGCAGTGCCAGCACTCCTGTCCACCTGCTTCAGATTCTTGATAGTGAAGTTCAAGGCTTTAGGCAGTTTAAAGGTTTCAGGCAAAGTGAACACCTTTCCTGATCTCTTGCCCGTTGGGGTCATTCGATTGGACTGTTTCATTGCCGCAGTAAAGTCCTCTGGTGTTGCGTCAAGTCGTGGCCACTTCAACTCATCTTGGGTTGGCACGCAAGTCATGTAGAAGAACTTCAGCCACCTGTCATGGGTAGTAGCTGGACACTGGACAAACAGTAGGTTTTAACTGGAAGGGGCCCACTGAAGCAAGTAAACGTACAAGGTGGGTAAAAATATGCAATAATAGTGCCTCTGAACATACAGAAAGAAAAAAAACAGTGTTTGGCTCTCATCAAGGATCTTGGACATTTTGCTGTGACGAGCAAACCGTTTGGCAACATCAGCGAGGTGTGAGAATGCGTCTTCCAGAAAATGCTTTGTATTTCCAGGGTTTCCAAATAACTGGAAGGCCATTTGCCTGACTTCGTTGTCATGAGGGTCCCACCGAGCAGCATTGCAAACCAAGTAGATTTCACGAGCAACCTGGTTCTTGTTCCATGCCATTTGGGTCATGATTGAAGCCAAGGCCAATTTGACATCAGCTGGAGAAGCGGAATCCTGGAGGAAGCGCTCTGCATGCAGGACCGCCGTCCATATTTTGTTGATAAGTTTCAAGCCTCGCCTCCTTTGCTCCATCTCTTCATGATGCACCAAACAAAACACGTTCGGCAAGCACACCATGTACTGACACTGACTCCAACACCGGGCAGAAGAAATTTCAATGCAAAGGTCAGAGTAGCGCCGAAGTAGCTGCAACTCATGTGCTAGCTCGTTTTCATCAACCACTGGTTTTCTCAGGGTTGAAATGTGTAGTCTCGTCAGGGTCTCCAGGTCATTGATGGAGCACATAGTACGAGCAACAGTTGTAGTGTACCAGGTTTCCCCCTTGGCTCTAGCAGCACGCCATCGGAGTGTTTTCTCCTAGTATGGAGCAAGAGTTATTGGTCATGGTGAACCGTCGTCTCATACTAGTGTCAGTGAATCACTGGAACCGTCATTGTTGGTTCATTGATTCATTTAGTTGATACAGGACTGTGTTGTAATAATTTAGTCATGATTGGCCCCTCCTGCCCAGATTTGTGGGTGTTTAATGTCCGGACGTACTCATGCAAGAGCTCGTGGGAGGCCCAGAAGATTGCCTTGAATTCCAGTGGCAGCAGCGGGTCCTGGTAGTAGTGGCATGCCATTTGCAGCTTGTTGGCAAACTGGTCTTTGAGCTGGTTAAGCTCCTGCCGGTTCTGTGGGCGGGGGTGAGCATCGCCCTCACCACCCTCCCAAGCCCCATCGCAATCAGAAGCATCGTCGCCATCTCCAGGTAGGTCTGGCTCCTGAGTTGTTTTTGCTGTAAGTAAAGGGAAAACAACTTTGGATTTTGTTCTTTGCTATTAATTATGTTGTTTATTCCAAACAGTATCCAGAAAATGTGTTGGACATGACAGGGGTGCAGCCATGTGTACATCGAAGCGTGCAGAACCCCTGTGCATCTCAACCGCCCTTTCCAAAACTAGAGTGTTCAGGCTCCAGTCTAAACTCAGCTTGTAGAGAGAGACAATGCACTGGAACCAGGACTTGTACTTTGCCTAGGGCCAGGGTCAGGGTAGACAATCACTGAGTGGTTTGGTTCTTCACTGATCCCCTGTAAACTGAGGACCAGTTGATCGAGGTTGGTTGAACCAAAATAGGAGAATTGGAAAAGCTGAACAGAACAGACTGATAAATTGCATATATACAAAAATACAACTGCTGACTGACAATCTAAGAGGCAAAGATAGGCAAGTGCTGCACTGCAGACAAATCCTCTAGATCTTCCGGGGAGTCAGGAATGTCTGTACTTAGTTGCCCATACCTGTCTTTCAGCATGCACTCTCGAAGCTCAGCAAAATCACTCGGGGAAAGTTCCTTGGACAACACCTTCACGCACTCCTGTTTCGTCCATTGGTGAGCTCCTGAATCAAAGGGTCCATGACTGGCTTGACTCAGAAGTATGCCCAGCAACAGCGATGGCTGAAACTCTGCTCGTTTCAATGCGTTCTTGAGATCATTCCACATTGGGTGCAGACTTTCTGGCTCTGCATAGAGCCGGAGGCCGCTATTGTAGCATAGGGCATACAAGCTCTTGAAGGGTAGTGCTTCTTCGTCAGGAGACTCAGTCAGTCTGTGAGTCATTTGCCCAAATTTAATAAAGATAAGTACTTCTTCCATATATGTGATTCGATATTAAATTAAATCTAGCTATTAATTAAACTATGTGTTTTTGTAGGCCAGTGGTTGCCGATCTAGAATCTAGGCAACTCAATGGTTTAAGAATCTAAGCAATGGTTTGGTGTATACATGTCATGTCTGGAATCCAGTGCCTGGCAGGCCAGTTGGGTCTTTTTGGGAAGTATCCGTATATCCTGGTCCCTGACCGTCCGTCCGTCCCTCGTCGTTGTAATTGCACAATGGTATGTATAGTAGGCCAAGGAACAGCTGTCAAGATTGGTCTCTCAGCGCAAGTGGGAGGATCTAACTTGGCAGAGGCCATGTCATACCCGGGTTTCAGTCTGGTCTTGGGCAAGAAGATCTCCAGACCATTGCCAAAGATTGTGAGCATGCTGTGCTGTAGACCTTTAACCACAGCCTGAGTCTGAGGTGGGCTGGTCCAATGTTTGTTACTCATTGCAAACAGTCTTCATTAGTGGCGCAATCCTTCCAAGGAACCATCATTCCGAAGATTGTCCTCCTGCCTGTTTGGGAAAGCTCAGATGCCATTTCCATCTCCGAGGAGCCAATGTTCCTTGATTCATTGGGTGATGTGAGTTTGCTGCCCTCGCAATATGATTGGAGGAATTGACAATTTTCAGCATAGCTCAACCTCTTGCCACCTAAAGTGTGACGCTGCAAACGTCAGTAAAGCATAGGTAACGGTTAGCCCAACTGCTCACAAGCCGCTGTTTCATCAGGAGCTCTGCTTCACAAGCCCATCGAGGAAGCGCCTTGGATCAAGAAAAGTCAGTATCACACGCCTCTACTAAGTAACTACAGTCGTGGTTTCAGAGTCAGAGTAGTAAGGCTAGATGGCCCGAATTGACCCAAAGATGTTTTTAGTTTTTATATTCGGGTCCTTCTGGGGATTGTGCCACTCTGAAACCACTGTAAGTACTTCAGTGAACGTAAACTATTCTCTGATGGTCCAGCCCACCTGACCCTCCAGGTTGAACAACATACAATTTCTAGTTTTCTGATTCAATGAGCCATGAGGGCCTGATGGTTTGTGTCGATGTCAGAACAATCCCGAGAGACAGTGTCAACTGGTGGCAAGTGGGGTCACGTTTCTTACGACCTTTGTTTCTCTCAGACTCAGCGGTCGAGGTAACAGCAAAATGCATCACGAAACAAAGTCAACTGTGGAGGAGTAATGAACCAAAACAAACAGCTGGTGACCTTCATCTTTTAACTTATTGTAATGATCTGACATAGGAAAAATACACATATATATATATATATATGACTAACTGAAATTTAGATGTTTAACCTCCAGCTCCTCCTGACTGTTGGCCGCAGAATTGCCTGTACTGTGATGTCGGCTGCTAAAGAGAATCAGAGTCAGAACATGGTCAATTCATCGGTGTAAGGTTGTTTTCTGGAAACACAAGTTAGTTTAACCAATGTGGACCATGCTCTGTGTCTCCTCAGTCATGGTGGCCAGGCTTCATCCTGTCCTGCAAGAACGAGGTGGTCATCAAGGAAGTTGCTGATTCACAGAGGACTTCTGTGTGTGGGGCGGCCAGCGGCCTGGGGGGGGGGGTGAAATTGGCGGTTGATACAGTACAAACAAAACATATTAGTCACTAGTGACTGACTAGGGTGACTAGTCACTCTGAGGTAAAAAAGGAAAAGCACGCATGCCACTTCCAATTAAATCAAAGCAAAATGCTGCGCTATGACTTGACTCCCCCATTCCGGCAATGCGTGTTTTCATCCTTTGCGCTCGGTCTGGGCGAAGGTCCAGCCAGTGTTTGGGCAAACCTGTGGTTCAGTGACCCCAGAAATTCAGAGATCAATCTGTAAATATTGATCCGCAAAACACTGCCACAGTATACTAAGTACACCAGCTGATTTTCGATTCTTGTCATGTGAGCCTAGCTTAAAGCGTAGGCATAAATTGATTCACTTCTCATCCATTTCGCCCACGTTGCGTGGGCGCTTCAAATTGGCTCCAGCACAAACTGCTGCGTGCCAATTAACTCGTCTCGTTGATGAAATGGATTCAGGTGTGAAGTCTAAGCCACGCTTTCTTCCTGACGTCCCCAATTTCTCAGCCGCCTTCTTCATCATCGGTGAAGTGGAGGATTGGCAAGTGCTGGAACTGTAGTCAACGGAATCAGATGAGTCTTTGGACGGTGGTGACTGGCGGGGTTGTGCTCCTGATGATGCATTGAGGCCTTGGGTCTGGTATTGGTGAGTCTTTGCATTTTCCAGTGCCTTCTTGGCATCATGAATTGTCGGCGACACCAAACCACCTGTTGTTCGCCGAGGCGGTGTGAACAGAGCCCAATCATCGTTCCATTTCACCACACCTGTGTCATTTGTATGCTGTGTGGCTGTCTCTGGAGAGTGATTGATGCCCTTCTCAGTAGCCGGAGATTCAGCCATAACATTGTTTTCACCAACCTCATCAGGCACAGGTTGGTTCATGCCCGGGTTCTCCTCCTGGTTCACCTGGTTCTCCACAGGCAAAGGTTCATTGGCGCCCTGGTTCACCCCAGGTTGATTCATGCCTGGGTTGTCACCAGCGCCAGCCACACCAGGAAAAGGCAAAGGTTGATTCATGGGTTGATTCAATCTGATTCTGACATTGGCGTAGCGGTCATGCATCTTCTTGAAGGCACCTGTCTTGGGGTAGTGGTAGGACAGAAAGCTTCTTGGGGATGGAGTGCGAGCGCTGTCTGGTTGATGGAGGGCAGCCGGATTTGGAGGTACCATATTCACTCCTACCCATTGATTCAGGTCCTCGTTTGGAGGCTGTACACCACCATTCGGGGCCGCCATCAGCTGCAAATAGTCAGGGATGATTCAGCCGTGAGGCTGATAGCTGGCACGACAGTGTACTCGTTTCTGAAAATTGGCTGCGGGACTGACTGATGTCAAATAACTATAGAAAACAAAGGGCACAAGTCTACAGCTGGATAGTTTCATAAAGGTGAAGCCCTAGAAGTTCAAAACGAAAAACAATAGTAGAAACATAAGTTGACTAAGGAAAATAGTACACAATTGCATGATAAATTAATTTAACTAACTAAACCGCCTAAATTTAATCTACAAATAGAAATATCAAGGAAGGCTAGTCAACAAAATAAAATTAAGCAAAACTAGTAATAGTCAACAAACAAATCAATACTAGGAAATACAAATAGTCTACACATAAAACTACACTAAGGAAACCTAGTTGACAAATAAACAAAACAATAAGAAAAAATGAATAGTCAACATAACAGAAAAACAATAAATAAGGAAAACAACTCAGGAAAAAATAGTCAACAATCAAGGACAACATAAGGGAAAAAAAAGTTGACACATAAGGACAAATAAGTACAGTACAATATTATAGTTGACAAAAAATAAGACACACATAAGGAAAAATAGTTAATCAATAAGAACACTTATGGACAAATAATCAACAAATAAATAAACATAAGGAAAACAATAGTTGACAAATAAGGAAAACTAACTAGTTGAGAAATAAGAAACACTATGGAACGCAAGTCGACAGATAAAGAAAAATAGGAACATCAAAGTTGACAAATAAGGAAAATAGTTAACAACATAAGACAAAAAATAAATAGACATACTCGACAAATAAGGATCAATAAGGAAAAATAGTTAACAACCGCAGACAAAAAAAGTAACAAATAGTCGAAAAAAAAGGAAACAATAAGAAACAAACAGGAAAAATAAGGAAACATAGTCGACAAATAAAGAAAAAATAAAACATAATTGACAAATAAGGAAAAATAATGAAAAAATAGTCGACAAATAAGGAAAAAATAAGGAAACATAGTCGACAAATAAGGAAAAATAAGGAAAAATAGTCGACAAATAAGGAAAAA